ATTAAGTTTTGCAATTTAGTTTTGAAGGCTACATGTTTTAATGTACTATTTACTTATAATTATTAGAGCCCGACCGATATATCGTTTAGTCGATATTATCGGCTGATATATCGGTATCGGCGAATATCCCGACGATACGCCTCCGATATGATTTTTTTTTATATATATTTCATAATGAATGTTCCAAAGTGAAATAAACTTCAACGGAATAAAGTTGAATGGAATTGAATTGAATTAAAGTTGAATAAACTTCAACTTTACTGTTCAGTGCACTGATGTCAGATTCATTTTTAATAAAGTTTATTGTTAAATTGTTAAATGCCCTGCCTCCATTAAGTATCTTTGTCACGTCACATGATAAGTGTTTGATCACCACATTTGAGTGATCATTGCAAAAAATGTGTTTATGTATATGTATTCTGTATATACTGTATTCTATATATAGTACCAGTCAAATGTTTGGACACACGGATGGGAAAGTGTCCAAACTTTTGACTGGTACTGTACTATAATATACACAAAGAATATCGGCCGATATATCGATATCCCATATCCCATATCGGTCGGGCTCTAATAATTATTATCAGCATTAATAATTAAATTACACTTATTTAATATTTAATTTTCAAATAAATAAAAAAAAATATGAAAATAAAATAATGACAATAGTTTTTGCTATGGTACTGAAATTGGTACCGGTATTGGTACTGATTACTGACACTTTGGTAACATGACAACACTAGCATGCATTATGCAGTTATGTAACATGGTGATGTAGCTTTCTGCTGGAGAGATTATCTCCCTTTGGCGTGGACTTTATGCTTTGTATCTTTGCACGTCATTTACATGCACAAACAGCAATATTACACAATAAAGGATAGGTAAAATAAAATAATAATAAAAACATAATAGGTGCCCTTTAAAGAGATCTTCTCTAACAACACAGGAAAATAATGGACACTGCTTGACTAATTATCCAGCGGTAGCTCATTAGTCGCTGGCAATGTAAAAAGAATTCCTGTGCCTGGGTTCCTGACTTCAAAAGGCACCTGCCGACCAACCCGATTTGAGAAACAATGACTTTTTCCTTGTTATTCCTTGTTATTCATTTTCTGAAAAACTTTGGTTCGCACAAAAATGTAATCACTATTGTGATTTACTCAACCTCATGTTATGCCAAACCTGTATGATGTGTTCAATGTGTTCTGGTTTGGTTAAGTTCTGTTCCTGTGTCATGTGCTCCCTGACCTAGTTTCCTAGTGTGTGACAGTTTGTTCCCTTAATTACTGATGTCGTTCACCTGTTGTTCTATTAGCTTACTCATAAGTCTTCCCTGTTACTGAAGCCCTGTTTCCGTAACTTGGATTGTATTGTGTGAATGACGAACGTGGTTGTCATCCAAGTTTATCTCCAACAATCTCTTAAGTTTTCCTGTGTGGATTATAATAAAACTGTCCTAGTTTCTATCTCTTTCATCGTGCTTCTCTACAACCGCAGACACATTACAAGATGCTTGTTTCCATACAATGCACTAGTCAAGCTCCAGATGTAATGAAAAAGCATAATAAAACCAGCAAATGCATTTGTGTACTATATTCCTAGTTGTCTGTGGTTTTTACAAAAGTAAAAAAATGTTGTCTGTAAATGATTACAGACAATCTATTCCATTAAATCACCTATCAAAACAAGTTTGCAGGATTTAATTGCCGCTACACACTAGCCCTGACCTGATGAGGCTCACTCTTTGGGTCGCTGTTTCAGTAGCTTCTAGGGTTGGTGGGGCGCCTTCGACGAAGGCAATTCCATAAAGCAGGAAGTTGTTGAGGAAGTTCTTCAGCTCCTCGTCGCAGCTCATGAACTTGTCCCAACTGGCAGAAGGCACCTTAGCACTGGAGTAGATATCTGCGTTCCACAGGATTCGAGGTTGCATGGCACTTCTCTTCCGGCCCTCATAGCTGTTTTGGGCCAGCCATGTTAGGTTGTACCGCGTTATGTGACCATCTGGCCCTGGAGGGGATCACAGACAAGGTGGAAATGACTTCATTAGGAGTCCATCAGGGTCTCTGGGGTTCAGTACAAGTTGAGCTTAATCGACAACAAATTAATTTGTACTTTTTTCATTAAAAAAAATAACTAAATTCTGGGTTACAGTGAGGCACTTACAGTAGAAGTGAATGGGGATAAAATGTACTCAGTTTCAATAGTGTAGGCAACACCATAAATGTGTGAAAATATGTCTTACTAACTTTTTCTGTGTTAAAGTTGCATCCAATTTTACAACTTCATTGCCACTGTAACACAAGAAACCCTAAAGTAGCTAAAAATGCTGATTTAAACAGCTTTACAACACCAAAAATACATTTTTCAAGTTTTCACAGAAGGTTTAATGTTAAGTTTAGCTTCCACTGAATCTGACTCATAAATGTAAAGTTAAATTGATGCCGGTCTTTTAAAATGGATTCCAAGAGCTTTAGGACTGCAAAATACAGCAATATTTCAAAACAATAATTTCCTTACAAATGATTTGTTATCCTTTTACACACCGTCTTACTAACATAATGAAAACTGAATCATTTTATGTATTCCATGAACTTGTATTCCTCATACCAGATCATATTTACCATAAGTATTTTTTACCATATGCTATGTATTTAAATACACTTTGCATTAGTTTATAGAAGTGGTAGCTAATAATATAAATTATAAACTATATTATAATTATAAAAACCCGAGAGAAATCTAGAAATGTATCATATCTGATGCTGATATTAAAATGGTCAGTCTTAACACTCCTGTGATTTGATTCTCCATAATTCATTTTATTACTTTTTCAAGTCCACATTGAAAGGTTAGATTAGTGTGTGCAAAAAAAAACAGTAGCTTTTAAAAACACAAGGAGAAGACGTTCACATTCGGACGGGATTAGATTTATCAGGGGAAGGGGAT